GGCAGACGACCATTTTTTTCACCTAGAAGGCCGAAGCGGGTCTGTCCTAGGGTTTCTTGGTTACTGTTGGGGTCTCGTAAATGGTTAAAAGGAGTTTCGGGTCTAGGACTGCTCGTAAATTTGAAAAGGTGCTTCCGAGATTAATCTGTATATGAATTGGGCACTTATGTACAAATAAAATTGAATTGAATTAAATTGATTCAGAATTCTGGATCAGGCTCGTTGGCTAACTCTGGGGCTGCAGCAGCTAGCTCCGCTAGCTCCGGGAGTGGTTGGTCATCAGTCACATTTGAGGCTTTCTCCTGCCGCTTCCTTCTTTCAGCTTTTGGTTTTGTCATCCTGAGGATCTCAGATAGAGATATTAATGATATGACACTGGAAAATTAGTTGAAATATTGGGTAGATGACCGAAATATTTCAAATGTGGAGAAGAGCCCTGGAAAACCACGTCTACTCCATGTGGTGCTCACTAGCGCACCCCGGCATTTTCAATTTTCCATTTAATATGACACAATGGCATGAATGTCAGAGACAATATTGCCACTGCCTTAATAAGATGAAGGAAAAAAAAGAAAAAACACAATTCAAAGAGAATACAATTCTTAAAAAATTTGGTGGATCAATGACAGAGTGCAATGGAACTGTTCTTGAGGCACATGGTGGAACAACACTTTTTATTAAAACATCTTTTGTCATCAGTTTTTTTTAAAGGTGGAGAAATAGTTTTTGACATTACGTATTGCCCTGTTCTTACATTTTACAAAGAACTGTTTTGTGGAACAGACTGACTGACACCACACTGCTTAGATGTGATCCCTCACTGGTTTCCCATCTGCACATGCAAAGAGTGCTCCGATCAGGATTTTTGAGGTCTATCACTGATCACCGATTACTGGGTCTATTTAAAGGCTTATGATTAGGGCATCCTTGTCTATTTATTATTATTTACTATTCTTAATAACTTTGTATAAATATATTAAGTATTTAGTCTTGTCATTGTCTGGAGGGAGTTTTTCTCTCAAGTGTCTGTTGCTTTGGTGCAACTTTTACCTGAGTTATCCGAATTAACTGACTGTCGTCTCTACATCTTTTCCACGGATTACATTAATTTGAAAATGTGGCTGTGTCGGATATCTACCACTCTCTCCTCCAAGCACAGGCAGCCCGCCTAAAACAGACACCTGACATCTAACAAGCTAAGACACCACTGCAACTTTTCTGCAGTGTTATAAAACGGGTTGTGTGATGTCTTAATAAAACATCTTTAATAAGTCTGTGAATAAAAGGAAATCTCCAAACATGGGACATTTACCTGGTTTAAGTTCCCTGAACAGCAAAAATCGACCAAAATTTACATCATTACATGCTGCATAATATGTGACATATGTCTCCTCATTTACGGCGACCATCTGACGATGGTTTGGGTCGACATGAAAATGCACTTTAAGAACCTCCTGAACCTTTATGTTCCCATCTGGGTTGCGCAGCCCATTTAGGCAGACTTGGATGACTTTGAATGCAAGCCCATTATCCAGGAGCGTCTTGTCGGCATCCAAAGTGACCATGAGGCCCAAGCCACATTTCCACACCTCTGGTTGGGGTAGTACGTGGGTCATAACTCCAGTGTTCTTTGTCCATTCGCAACCATACTTCATATATTTGATAAGAGTCCTGCGCTGAACACATTTACGTGCCAATAGTCATAGTCATAATGCCACCTATTGGCAACAGGAAATTACGTATTTCATACTTTTCATGTTCTACTCCTAACAGGTTGAATGGCTTCAACTTAAATTTGGTCAGACAACCCTTAAGACATTGATTGAATCTCTTTACTGTTGGTCGAACAGTTTGGTCCCAACCAATGTTCATTTTCCAAGCTACTGTAAGTTACTTAACTACTTTCCCTGGTCATGGTGGAGTTTTGTGGGAAACGCAAATCGCAATACAAAGTCTCTAAATATTTTCTCTGCAGCGGTTTTGGCAGCTTTGTGTCTGCAGGGGTAGTGATCCATCACCACAAGGATATATATTTATACCCTTACATTTCTCCAAATGTAAGAAATCAATGGCCACCAGCTCGAATGGGTATGTGGTGATGATGTTGGTGAGTGGAGCGCTGGTTAGGCTCCTTGGGGCGCGGTGTCTTCGGTAACGGGACCACACAGGAGGTCTTCCACAGGGCTGGGACTTTCTCCAGACTCAGGCTCAGATTGAACAAGCGCATGACCACACCACAGAGCTGGTCTGCACAGTCCTTGAGCAGTCTTGGGCTGATGCCGTCCGGGCCTGGGGCCTTCCTTGCCTTGATCTTCTTAAGTTGACACCTCACCTGATCAACTGTTATGGAGAGGGGGGTGGATGATGACTGGGGTTGGGGTGTGGTGGGTGGTGAAAGTCTCAGGGGGAGTGAGAGGGGGGTGTGGTGAACTGGGGGGGGGACTGGTGTAGGTCAGGTGTTGAAGATGGCAGGCTGAGTAGTGGAGGGCACGGGGAGCAGGGTGGGTGAGGGAGGGGGAGGAGCAGAATCAAATCTGTTAAAACACGTATTAAATTCATCTGCCCAGTCCTTGTCCCTGCTGGTTGGTTTCTTCCCACTCCTTTTCCATGGCCTGAGATGTTCTGCAGCCCTCTCCAGACATCCCTGGCGTTGTTCTGTTCCAGCGCTTCTCCAGTTTCCTCCTGTAGCTGTCCTTTCCCTTCCTGATCTTTTGCCGGAGTTCCTTCTGGACTCTGCGCAGCTCCTCTTTGTCCCCCGATCTAAAGACCCTCTTCTTCTCATTCAGCAGGGCCTTAATCTCGGAGGTCCAGGGTTTGTTGTTGGGAAAACACCGTACCAACTTGGAGGGCACAGTGTTCTCCACACAGAAATTAATATAGTCCGTAATGCAGTGGGTCATACTGTCAATGGCATTTCCGTGGGGGCTGCAGAGTGATTCCCAGTCTGTTGTCTGGAAGCAGTCTCTGAGCCTAGCACTGGCCTCCTCAGACCTTCACAGGCCTCTTCTCAGGTGGTTGTTTATTCACCACAGGGTTGTAGTCTGTGACCAGATGGACAAGGTTGTGATCTGAGCGACCAAGTGGGGGGAGGTGTATGCATCCTTGATGTTTGCATACAACAAGTCCAAAGTTTTATTGTCCCTGGTGTGGCATTTCACGTACTGGGTGAAGGTGGGGAGAGCAGAGGACAGGGAAGCATGGTTGAAGTCACCGGAGATGAGGAGGAGGGATTGGGGGTGCTGGTTTTGAAGCTGGGAGACGACAGTGTGGATCTGATCTGTAGCTGCAGCAGCGACGGCCGAGGGAGGGATGTACACAGTTACTAACAGCTCCAAGTCTCTGGTGCAGAGTTGCTTCTTAACACTGATGTGTGCTGGGTGGCACCATCTTTCATTTACAGACACAGCGATCCCCCCTCCCTTCTTCTTACCGCTCTCCGTTGCTTTCCTGTCAACCCGTACACCTTGAAATCCGTCACTCAGAGTGTGAGTCAGGAGAAAGTTCACTCAGTAACGTCTCTGTGAGGCTGCATTCCCGGTTCTCCCTCTGCAGCCGGGTCAGCGCTGTTAGCTCGTCCATCTTGTTGGGGAGAGATCTTACATTTCCCGTGATGACAGACGGTAAACATGGTTCATACCGTCTTTTCCGCTGTCTGCACTTTACTCCCGCTCTGCATCCTCTCCTCCTTCGCTGTATCTCCTCGGGGATCTCCAGCCGCTCGGTGGCACAGTGCTAATGGCTGATCCCGGGTGTAAACAAAGGAGCCGTGGTTGAGTGGGTCTCCCGACGCCGCACCAAAAACTTCAAAAAACTGAAAGTGTGCATCCATAGCTTTACACTTGCTTAAAGTTTGTCATTTTAATGTCACATTTAAACATTCTGTATTTTCAAAACCCTTTTTCAGTGAAACAGAGTTACTACATTTTACAATATGTAATTTAAGGTGAGTTGGTTTGCCTCACCATTTTTAGTGTAATGAGGAGCTGGGAGTAGCAGAAGATAATGGTGGCTAAGGGAACAGCAAAGCAGAAGCCGAAAAGGAACATCACATAGGATTCATTATTGTATTTGTTGTTTGTGGTGTACCAGTCCGGACCACAGGAGCACTGCAGGCCTTCGGGGATATACCTGGAGAGATAATCACAAGAGCACTGAGTGTACATGGCAGCCTTGCTGATCAGTGCAACTGTTGTATGTATGTGAGTAATACTAACCTGCTCCATCCGAACAGTGGAGGAGCTGAGGCCAACAGTGCAAACACCCAGGTGAATGCACAGCAAGCTAAAGCATGGTCAGGCTTGAAAATAAAGTTACCAAGTGGCTTGCAGATCACCAGCCATCTTTCGAAAGCTATCACAGCTAGAGACCACAGACTTACCATACCTGGAATAATATAAAGTAGGATTCAATATTTTTTGCTCATTAAAATTCAAGTCTCATGATGTCATATATCTGTGTTTTAAAGTTTGTCTTACCACCAAGCGTAACCATAAAACCTTCGATCTTGCATGACATCGGTCCAAAGATGAAATATCTGGATATAAAGTTGCAGCAGGAGGTGAAGGATCCCACAACAGACACAAGAAGGTTTGCCACAGCCAAATTCACCAGGATGTAGTTGAGGTGGGACCGGAGCTTCTTGTATTGGACGGTGCATGCAATGGTGAGGACGTTAATGGGGGTGCCCACAGTAAATATAAAAAGCATGTATAAGGCCATTGAATAGTAGGTGCTGGCGCCTGCTAGATGGTCCTGTGGTACTAGGAAGGGGCTGAGAGCCGTGATGTTGTCCGTATCCAGAGTGATGGGGATCCAGAAATCCTCTGGAAGCTCAATATTACGGCTGTGCTTCATTTTGACTTGAAAAAAAAAAAAAAGAAAAGTCAACATTTGCTTTTCATGTGATGGTCAGTTAGGTGAGATATTTCCTGCAGGTACACTTGTCTACAGCAGTCTATTAGAGAGGACTGGGAGAACATTTATAGGGCTGTCTGACTGAACATTTAATTAATTGAATGATTGGTTAATAACTTGATTTACTCAGCAACAATTACCCCCTTACTTCATTTAAAGGGATTAGAAAGCCACAGGAAGCAATGCAACAAAGAGGAACAGGCCAGATGTGCATAGCATTATCCTGTTATCTCGTCACTATTTTAAGTTAAAAAGGAAAAAACCCACAATGATGCACAGCAAAATGTGCACACAAACACAAACACACAAATGCTAGATGTACTGACATAAACATATATGTACCCATAATACACATAACAATAAAATGTGATTTAAATCTAGTATCTGGTTCAATTACATCCTATTCGGAAGGAAGGATATTCTTTTGGAGTCAGGTAATCCGGTCATCCTATTTAGACTAATCACATTCAATCTGTCCCTGGGTAACCTGTTTTGTTAGTATTAGGATGGATGAGCTCTACCTTCGTTACCGTACCAGGATGAAGAAAGGATTACCAAATGTTGAGCTTGGATCTCGGTACAGAGCCTTTCCCTTTTTCATAAAAAGTAGACATTGGAGGAGATTCTTTTCTTTGAGGTAAACTTCTATGTATAACTTTTATAATACTCTGTTCACATCTGCTTAACGCTATGTGAAGTGGACCATAAGTCTGCAGTGAAGGGTTGGACACAAACATACAGTATCTTAAGTGTTGGTTTCTCCACTACCACCTAAAGGACAATGTAAGCCAAATACCTAAATCAGGCAGGTAAAGACAGGTAATTGCTCCAATTTCTCCCTTTATTTTGAAGGAATGTAGTAATAAAGGACTGACACAGGAGGGTGCAGAGCAGATGCATTCTGCTCTAATGGAGTTCAATATAAAATAAAAAAATAGACCTGTAAATAAACAATATATTTTAGTGTGTGTATTGTATTAGACATGATTATCATTGTTAATAATGGTCTTAACCATCATTACTCTTAGTATTATTGTAGTATGTTATGTAGGCTTATAGTCTGACTTGTGAGCAGGGTCACAGGGTCATGGGAGCCAAGATAGTGCAGTTTCATTTATATGTTACAACTGAAAAACAATCAACCATGATTGATTATGAAAAATATTTTACATTATTGTATTGTTTCTGTCAGCAGGTGAATGGGTCTTTGCTTATGACGCCATCTCAAACAGCTTGAGGACACAAGCAATTAGGATAATTGGCATTTAGAGACTATGAACAGTAGTCTTACAAGAGCTGTAGGATGGGAGTTCATTCTTTCATCATAAACACTGGCATTTAGTCTATGTGGTATACACCACTGTAATGTTCTTCTAACATAGTCACAATGCCAGAAACACAGCAAACAGCACATGTAGCCTCAACAATGATATCAGTCACCACAACAAAGGGCTTATAGTTTCACTGCAAATACCGCATTGGCAGGAAATAAAATCCATTAACCTATACCTTTTGACACAGGTGCTCGATCAGCAGCCACAAGTGGAACAAAACCGGCTGATTGATGTTATGACCACTGAATAATAATGACTCAGTTGCTTAGCCTTCTGATTTGTGTGCTTTCATTTGTAACAAATCTGTGACCCATATAACATTTTACTATATAGTAAAAAAAAAAAACAGGTTCTTGAATCCAAATAATCTGACACATGTGATAACACTATATAGCACAAGAAAGTGTTCTTTTAAATAGGCTAACAAACTGATTTCGGTGTGATTCTTATGGTGGATGAAAATCTACATGCACCTCTTCAAAAAAAACCTCCTGCAACCATAATCCTTGATCCATGCAACTTGTGAGGCTTTACATCATGATCTCTTGAGGCTTTCAAAGATCAGTCCTCCAGCCGTTTCCTAAGACTCTTAGCGAGTGTAAACCATTGCTGGCAGCTCAGATTAGCATGGAAGGTCATGGTGTTGGTTTGAGCTCCACTCACCTGTTTAACTGGCTGTTGTGCTCGCTCATGTCCTTGATTCAAATCCCTATAGCTTCGGTATAAGACAGGGGAGCTGTATTACTGAAAATCAAAACAAATGATTGTGGATTTCTTGCTTTTGTGGCCCAAATTTATTCAAATCACCATAGAAAGCTAAGTGGAAATGGCTGAAAAAAAAAAAAAAACAATCAATCACCATGACGATGATGGCTATAGCATTTGTTTGATTATCGGCCTAAAAATGATTTAGAGTAAAAGGTTTTAAGAAGAAGAAGAAGAAGAAGAAGAAGAAGATATACTTTATTAATCCCCGAGTGGAAATTGTTCTTTTCTCTCTTTTTTTTCACACACACAGGCTGAAAATACACACTTTCATGCACATGCAAACAGGGAGAGAGAGATGGTGGAGTGATGGGGCTGCAACGTTAACAGCACCCCATGAGCAGGCTTGGGGTTAGGTGCCTTGCTCGAGGGCACCTCGGTGGTGCACAGGAGGTAAAACTGGCACCTCTCCAGCTACTCTATATTTTGTTAATACTACTACTACTACTACTATTTTTATGGAATTTCAGATATTTCTACTATTTTGTTGTGTAGACAGATTCAACTTAGGTTACCTTTCATGGAATTTTTCATCCATTTATCCAATCACTATCTTAATGACGTGCCTAATGAGTGTCCAATCTGTTTCCTGCAGCACACATGACTGTTTTTGCTTTTCTTGAATTTTAAAGTTAAACAAACTGACAAAACTCACATTATATCAATCAAACAAGATGAATGCTCACCTTGAAGCTAGGCACAGGAGAAATCATGAACAGCACACTGTATGTTAAAAAAGAGAGATGTATAAAACGACATGTTACGTTGTACAATAAAAATCTGCTTCCTCACAAACTAGTTTACATTCTGTTAGTATAAGATAACACAATGTGCAAAAAGAAAAACAAATGCATTTTCATCTCTGGTTATGTGAGATGGGTGCCAGGAGTGGCTACATAATAAAACTGATTAAATATATGGTATCTGGTCTTAAATTTTACATTTTCATCTTTCAGTCAATATATATAATTAGTTATGCTTTGGTATTGTGCTTTCACTGCTTCATGACCCATGTAAAACAACCACATTTAAAGGCCCTGCACACCCATGGTATACCCACACAGGTGATTTTATTTGACAGGTGATTGGAGCTCTTCTCCGGGTTGCGTGGACATCTACACACTGCACTTGACTGACATCTGTTATCTTGGCTTAGGACGAGGACGAGACAAATTATACAGTTGTCACATGGAGTCTGGTGATCTCTGCAAACTGCACCCTTCTTCAACCTGAGCAGAGGTTTAATCAGAGAAAATAGGTGAGAACTCCTGTGTGGGTGTGCAGGGCTTTTATGTTCTTTATTCTGTGACTTGCATATGGAAATTTGCATACAGAGCTTTTCTTTCCATTCCAGCACAACAACAGTACACTGAATCATTAACAAATATGTAAATATGTGTCCCACAAAATCCAATTATTTGCCCTGCTGTATTTGTAAATAACTTATTCATTGCGAGCTGCAGACCATATTCAAAACAAAACAAAGAAAGGCTGTCATCTAATGGACAAATCGTGTATTGCAAAAAAAAAGGGATCAAGTGCTTTGTATTGATTTAAGTGTTCAGGATCACTGGAATAACAGAAGGATATGTGGACTTTGTCTGAGGTCTGGGGAAAAAGAGAATTGAATGAGAATTTTCCAGTAAAATGCAGAAGGGATGTTGATCCTGGTAATGTGTCAAATGTAAACCCACATCCCCATACTGTACGATAGTGTTCCTGATATCCCTGTAGCTAAAGTAGTTTGTGTCATTGGTAATCATATTTATGAAACAAACTTCCATTTCCGTTTGAATGCTGACAAAAACACACATTGATCTATTTCCACAGACCAAATTAGATAGAGAAGTTGAATAATTTCCCAAAACTTCAACATTGTAGAGCATGGTCTCGTCTTCTTCAGTAGGAGTGTAGCAGAGAACTGTGGGTGAGTATTTTTTAAAAAAGGAGGGAGACTGGTCTTGTAGATGTTGACGGTACAGTAATGCAGTGTGTATCAGTGGAGGGCGCACTGGTGGTGGGTGTGGGCGTGGCAACCTTTATATGTGTGAGCGCTAAATCTGTAAATTAGTGCTTGCACACTATTATTGTGCGTGTACGGACATATATAAGTAGGTTTATGGCGGAATAAAATCAGCACCACCTACAATATTAAAATAAAAGTTGTTCCAGCGCGGATGTCGCCATCTTTACTAAGGGACAATAAGCCTAGCGCTATAACACAACTTGCTGCAATTTTCTTAAACTCCTTATATGTTCAATTCATATAGATTTCAAGTGTTCTTTGAAGCACCTCACTATACAGAGCATTACTGGCCTCTTCAGAGTGGCAAACTACAAACACTTTGTATGCGTTTCTGTCTGTAATGGGTAGCGAACGGGGCTCTGTCGCCATGTTTACTTTGGGTGACGCCAACTCTCTTCCATTTTCCTCCGCCTCTGGTTGTCAAGAAGATGGCAGCTTCCAGGCAGGCATGAGAGGAAATACTTCTTCACAAATCGAATGAATTTGGATTATTGCCGCAAGATCAGACCTCATACCAGTGTATTTGCAATTACTGCATCGAAGTAAGTAAGTAAAAATCCGAAATGATTCCGTCTTTCTCGGTTTGTTATGTTTTGTTGTGGCATACCGCCCGGCCATTTTTCTTGTGGGAGCTGTAGAACTAGGCCGATTGTTGAAAAGATGGCTGCTTCCAGAGACGGCATGAAACATAATAACACTCTGTTTATGCAGTTTAATTCCGTTTAGCTACGTTTTAAGAGTGGTGTTGCAACTACATTTGTATCAGGTAAAATATGCATGTCAAAATAAAGCGAAATTACATTGCATTTAATTGT